GACGTAAACTTGCCTAGGAAAACCACAACAGCCAAAAAATACTGGGGTTGGTTCTGCAACGTCCTGTATAGGATACGCAACTAACTTATATATATAGTGCGTGTGTGTTGCTTAGCGAGAATCGCCAGTCATTTGGCTTCTGAGCATGTGTGGTTTTTTCTTCAGTGTTATTTATTCGTAGAATTTCACTCACTGTATTGATCTGCCAAGGTTTCATACTGCTACTTGACTTGAATCAACAACCATACGGGCTTGGTTGGCGTATAACACACACACAGACAGACACACACACACAGAGACACACACAGACACACACAGACACACACAGACACACACAGACACACACAGACACACACTGACACACACAGACACACACACACAGACACACACAGACACACACAGACACACACAGACACACACAGACACACACAACATACACAGACAAAACACACAGAACACACACAAGACACACATATAACACACATACACCACACAAACAAAATCAGACACAAACACACACACAAACAAAATAAACACACACACAGACAAACACACACAGACACACACAGACACACACAGACACAAACACACCACACACAGACACACACAGACACACACACAAAAACAACACACATCAGACACACACAGACACAAACACACACACAAACACACAGACACACACCAGACAAACACACATTGAAAAAAACACCACACACCACACACAACACACACAACACACAAAAACACACCACAGATACAACAAATCACACAGACACAAACACACAGACACACACACAACACACACAGACACCACACACACACACACACAAACACAACAGAACACACATAGACACACACAGACACACACAACAGAACACACACAGACACACACACACACCAGACACACACAAGAACACACTAAACACACCAGACACACAAAAGACACCACACAGACACACATAGACACACACAAAACACAGAGACACACACACACACACAGAAACACACACACACACACACACAGACACACACACAGACACACACAAATCACACACAGACACACACACACCAGACACACAACCAGACACACACACACACACACAACACACACACAACAGACACACACAAATACACACACAGCCACACACAGACACACACAGACACACACACAGAACACCACAGAACACACAACACACACCACCACCACACCACACATACACCACACAGACACACACAGAACACGCCACACGCGCATCACACTCCACACACAGACACACCACACAGACACACACACACACAGACACACACACAGACACACACAGACACACACAAAAATAAACAACAGACACACATAGACACACACAGACACACACAGACACACACAGACACACAATGACACACACAGACACACACAGACACACAATGACACACACAAAGTCAACAAATCCCAGTACTAATACTATAACCAAAAATAATTCGGTAACGAACAGAAGAATCCTTGAACATACAAACCTCACTAGTATAGAGAACTTAAAGCTCTGTCAAAAATTGCTATTCAGCTATCAAATCTTTATTTTAAATAGTATCAACTTATAATGGCTCTAGAGGGCCTCTGGAAAAAAATGTAATTACTACTTATCGGATGTCAGTATCGTCTATTGTGTAGCTTATTCATATAACACATAAAAAAGAGATAAACTGGAAGCCTCGACACAATGAAGTCCAATATGCACTCTTTAAAAGAAAGTAGTAATTCTGCAGAAGTAATAAATCGGTTTCTATTTTTAAAAAGTTAGGCAACCTTTTAAACCACTGTTTCCCGAACTTTTCTTAGTCGATGCGCCTTTTTTTGGGTTTTTTTTTTTTTTTTTAGTTAACATTTTCCTACGGCGTCCTAACCTAAGTAAAAGTTTGACTATTCGTATGAAAGAGATAAAAAAAAAAAAAAATAGGAATTTTCGAAAATTTCGCGGCGCCCCTGTGAAGAAGCAGCGGCTCCCCAGGGCGCTGCGGCTGCACAGTTTGTGAATTACTGTTTTAAGCAATGGTATTGTAATCGAAGTCTGTGATTCCATTTCTTTTCCTAATGTTGTTATCAAGTTAATCTGAGACCCTTTATTACAGAAGCTACTGTAATTATTTCCAATTGCCAGTTTACCATAAATGGCTCTGAAACTTGGAGCACAACTAAAAGAGATGAAGCCTTATTACAGGTTTTCGTAAACAAAGTCTTACGACGAACCTTTGCACCCATCAAAGAAGCAAACAGCGATGAATGGAGAGTGAGAAGCAACAACGAAATTCATTATCTGTTTAAATTTACCACTGATCACTACTGGCATCATGAGAGCTAATAGACTGAAACGGTTGGGGCATATTGAAAGAATGTCAGATGACAGAGAAGTAAAAACTGTATACACCAGAGAGATGAATGGTCGTAGACCACGATGGAGACCAAGAAGACGATGGAGAGATAATATCCAGACAGACCTGCAAACACTTGGTGTTACCAACTGAAAAGAGGTTAACCAGAGAGATGAATGGAGGCGGGTGATATCTGCAGCAATGAACCTCAAGGGCTCGGAATGCTGAAGAAGAAGTTTACCATAATAAGGCATTAGGACAAAACCTAGAGTGATTTGATATGATACGCTCTTGGGGTGTTGTGTGACACTAGAGCTTACATGGGAAGCAAAGAAATGAGCATCCTACACATGTGGTAAGAAGCAACAAATATGGTTTCGGGTGAGACTACACTCAGCAAGTAGAAAACTTTGGCAACAAAATAGAAATTAACAGGGATTCTTCTTTTGGCGTCTCACTGATACCAGGTTGTAGCCCAGTGTCGTGGTTTTCTGTATTTGTCTTTCGCTTCTCAAATGGCTTGAGTGATGGATTTGTTCACTTTTTTTGGCAGGTTTTAGCTACACCATTTATCCATGTCTTTCTTGGTCCTACTCTCGCCTTCCTCCCAGATGTTATCCTGAAAAAAGTCTCATATGCAGTTTGGGCTGGCTGCATTCTCACTACATGGCCTAATCATTTCATTCTTTGCCTGTCAATATAATCCAGACATGGTCTTATTTCAACTTTCTCTCTAATTCTGGTATCGTAACCCTGTCTCGTCTAGTGTTGTTAGTGACCTTGCGGTGACGGCGCATTTCACGTGTTTTTTTTCTGTTCCTTATTCGTTGTCAATGTTTAGCACTGATAACATAAAGTAGGGATACAGATGCTATTAATTATTTGCTGTTTTGCTGGAAGGGAGTCATTTGGGTGTCTAAGCAGTGGGGCTAACTGGTAGATGATAGCATTTGCCTTCTGTACTATGGCTTCTATCTCTCTATCGAGTCTGCCATCCTCCGTAAATTTGCCTCCTAAATATTTGAATTCTCGTACTTGTTTGATTATACTACAGTTAACATGAACGTTCATGATATTATGTTTCCTGCCTATCGTCATTAACCCAGTTTTCGGTGTGTTTATTCTTCTTCTTCTTCTTCGCGTTCACCAGCTGTACACTCTGGTGGAAAGTTCTGGTTGTTCGTCCACTTCTGAACTTCAGTCCTGCTCCAGAACCTGAGTGTTGCATGTGCATCAGTTTTACAAACCTGATTCACTTGAATGCAGACTGTTGGTTCCTTGCCTCTCAGGCAGATGCACTCCGACTTCAAAGGAAGCTCCCCAATTAGTCGACTCTTACGACATGCTTTTGGGTAGGCAGAGTTTCTATTTTTGTTTTCCCCACGATGGGGCCCCGGAACCCCCTCATATCATACTTTAACACACACACACGCGCGCGCGCGCGCGCACACACACACACACACACAAAGATCAACTGCGAAACAATATACAAATAGCGTAGCTGGAGTTGGTCGGGACCATGTACTCCACTGGAGTTAAGATTTCATGAAGAATGTGAATGCCCAATGTGTAGTGACGTCCTGATGATACAACAGTGTTGGCTTATTAGTTCCATTGCTACTTTCCTTAGTTCCTTCCCCGCCCTCACCAGCCCCCCCCCCCCCGTCCAGCCCCTCATCTCTCATGACGACTGACTGGTTCAACTTCACCAGGATATCACACCAAACGATAAACACCCAGTGACAAAAAGTGCCCCCATTCGGATGAGGATCAACCGGGGACAGGTCACAGAAACCCCGTTCAGCCCAAAGGTGTGGTTATATAAGGGTCCCCGGCATTAGCCAGAGTGGGGCTTCAAAACGACAAACAATTGCGTCCGACATTGCAACGCAAAAGGGAACATAATTACTAACTGTTGCATTTTGCACCACACCTATTTTGCTACTCCGTGAGATCTTGAAACGCATACCCATTTCAGTTGTTATTATTGTCAAAAAGCATATATGTTTGTTTGTTTTAGTATCCAGAAGCCATGAGTTGTTAACCCGTAGGCTCGGTATTATGGATATCGCAACCTTTCGGCCTTGATTCCATTGTAAATACCGTAAATCTAGGAGCAAATGTGGCTTTCCTGCCTACCCCCGGGATTGAACCCGGACCACAAGGAGTTCGTCACCCGGTCTCCGCGCAATCCGGTTTAGCCAACTACGCTAGAGAGCCGGGCAACAAATCATATCTAAAAAATTTTATTGTTAACAAAATCATTCTTTCGTGTATATCGATTCAGCAGACAGTTCTCCAGCTAAAAAAGAAATTAAAATGAGCCTTTGCAAACCTTTCAAACTGTGATTTTCAACACTGATACACTCACTCACCTTTTTTCCGATTAACTCTCTCTCTCTCTCTTTCTCTCTCTCTCTCTCTCTCTATCTATCTCTCTCTCTCTCTCTCTCTCTCTCTCTCCCTCCCTCTCTCTCTCTCTCTCTCTCTCTCTCTCTCTCTCTCTCTCTCTCTTCTGATATTTTTTCTTTAATACATAAGGATGATTATGAATATGAATAGTACGAAACAGTCATAAAAGAAAATATTACGTCAACAGACGGGGTCACGGATGTACGTGGAATGTTGATAACAAAATGGCGACCGCCGGAGTAGGAAGCATTACAAACGGCATAGATAGTCTGGGTGTCGCAGAAAACGATACGACAAATGAACATCCAGTTGCAGAATTAGATGAACATAAGCAAAAGTGGGGATTTTCGCTTGAGGAAGTTTATAAAATTGCTCTCAAGTTCTTTAAAGGTACAGAAAACTGTTTAATTGTTGGTTGGCGATGTTTTTTTTAAGGATAATAATTTAATTTAATTTGTGATTTTAATTTTGATGTAGCAACTTTAGTCAAATTGATGAAATACAAAAATTATTAATTCTTATGTACTTACTAAGTTATTAAGGAACGGTACTAGTACCGGCACCTATTTAGGCATACTTCTTTCAGCATAACTATAATAATAGAAGCTTTGTAGTGAGTACCAGTACATCAAGACACAGAAAAAGCCATAATAATAATAATATGATATGCTGTCTGCTGGTTTCGGTGTCACAGTCACTGCAGCAGCAAATACACAGATTCATGTATTATAACACCAGTTTTCATTCATTGCCCTCTTGTGCTATTTTATCTCACATAGGGCTGATAGTATTGCGTTTTATCATGTGCAATCACTTCGATATCATCAGGATTTGACAGTCATGGATGTCATCCAGTCCAGCACTTTTGGTTTCTCTTCTTGTCAACGCTTCACTAGCCACCCCTGCCTTATGGTTTCTCTGTATAATCTCTTAGATGTCCGTGTTTCCTCAGTCCCTCTTCCCACCCATCCCCCTTCCCATTTCAGTGCCTGTTTGGTGATCCTCTGTCTATTCTCAAGTGTCCAGTATAGTACCACCCACTCTAACGTATAACTGTTAATACTATAGACAGGCTGCACAGATATTTCTCTTATTTCTTCACCTCCCTTGAATTCATCCTATTTTATGTTCATCAGTTTCGCTAGCCATTTGTTTTCAGATGCATTTTTCTTTCATTCCATATTTTTAGTGGAATTCCACATGTCATTGAAATGTGTTAAAACTGAAATAACATTAGAACTGAAAATTTACATTTTGGTTCTAAAACTATATAATTTAGAGTTCCATATTTTTAGTGGTATTCCAAATTTCATTCACATGTGTTAAAACGTGTGTTAAAGATCGACTTAGGAACGATGATGTCAGGAGGAGAATCTGCACAGAACCACTACTGAACATTAAAGGTAGACGACAAATCAAATGGTTTGGTCATGTTACAAGATTGGCAGCAGACAGGGCACCACAGAGAGCAGTGTTATACAGATACAGTGGTAACAGACCCAGAGGTCGACCACGCAGAAGATGGACCGCTAAAGTATCAGAGACACTGACAAGTACTATATACGAAGTGAACAGAAGGGCTCGTTCTAGAGATCTCTTCCTCCCCTGACGTGGGAAGGCATTCCAGGAGTAGAGAAAATAAGAAAGAGAACATAGTACTGAAAATTTTCAACTTAGTTCTAAAACTATATAATTTAGTGTTCCATATTTTGTTCAGGCTGCTGATGCCTCGCCAGTGTGTGTTGTCTTCTTTCTTCTTTGCGTTCACTGGCTGTAAACTCCGGCGGAAAATTATGGTTGTTCGTCCATTTCTTGACTACAGTCCTCTTAATTCCTGAACCTGATTATTGCGTGTGCATCCATTTGACAGATCTGACTAATTTGTATGCAGACTGTTGGTTCCTTGCCTCTCAGGCAGATGCACTCCGACTTCGAAGGAAGCTCCCAATTAGTCGACTCTTACAACATGCTTTTGGGTAGGCAGTGGGTCTATTCTTGTTTTCCCTATAATAGGGCCCGGTACCCACACGGGGAAGTGTGTGTTGTAATTTTTTTCTTTGTTCTTTGTTTCTTTGACTATCAATATTACTGTCTAAATGAGTAAATTGATCTCTTACTTTAAATATTTTTTGGGGTCTCCAGTTGTTACATCTGCTTAATCTGTTATTAATGTCTTCAGTATATTGTGTCTTTTCATAACTTATTGGTAGTCCCACTTTTGATGCTATTTTTGTTAAATCTTCAGTCTTCTTTGCCGCATTGCTGTTCTTACTTAGTATTTCTGCACTAATTTTATCATCACCTGCTGCCTTATTGTTTGCTAATAAATGGTTCACCTCCTTGATTTCCATGTCTTTTATCTGTCCTATTTGTATTGGAAATGTGGTCATTGTAGCCTACTTATTAAAACTTATTGGTTCTCATGAACTAGGTCTATTTAAAGTCTCTTGGAAGTGTTGTGCCTATTTGTTTTTCTGCTAAATATTAGATGAAAGTATTTTACAATCCCTACGTTTAATGAGACAACCCCTAATTTGAAAGTACTAGTAAAAAGCGAGTCTCCTATCGACTGGGCTAATGCGATCACTAGTTAACTGTTTTAGTGTATTGTTCAGTATTTTAATTTTTCCATTCTTAACTGCTTGTTTTCCTTCTTCAGCTAGTCTGTCAACATATGCTCTGTTATCTCACCTTGCACAACTTTTTATCTTTTCTTTTTATGTTACTTGTTGTAATCTTTAGCCCTTATTTCTTGTTCTGTTGATTTATCAAGCATTGCATGTAGCAAGCTTTAATCTGTTTCTTTCATGAATTCATGAATACACTGTTGTATATCATCACTTATCCAAGGTTTCTCTAATGCTTCTTTAGTTTTGCACTAATTGTTGCTTCTAAAATTGTGGTCTTTACATCATTCCATTTATCCCTCTGCCTCCTTGACTTTTAAAAAATATATATATTTTTACTTGTAGCTGAGACTATTCTCTTACTTTTTGTTCATTTTCAAAGTCTGTAACTATCTTTTCTTTACCGCACATGATTTTTATGGCTGTTTTTAATTTAAGCTTTAGTTTTCCCATGCATATGATGTGGTCACTACCTGCATCTGCTCTTCTATACACTTAGACGTCTATCAAAGAGCTTCTGTATTTGTTATTTATGCATATATGGTCCATCTGATTTTTAGTCATGACATCTGGTGAATGCCAAGTTAATTTGTGAATTTGTGGGGAGTGTCTGAAAATTAATGTGTTTGACTTAAAAGGACAGATATCACAGTCCTAGCTGTAAATCACAATGCAGCATTCCAACCACCATTTTGTGGATGAATGCAGAAGAACAAGGTTCAAAGTTTTCATACAGTAAAACCCTGTTAACACAAACTAGCTTGAGAAGAGTACTCAGTTGGCAGGGATATTTTATTAGTCCCAGTTATCAAATTTTTTTTTTTCAACTAACTCTTGGTTTTTCAGCCCCTTGGAGTTAACGTTAATGAAGTTTTACTTAAATCATATTGTTGTGATTGCCCATGTATTTTGAGGCCTTTAGAGGAAGTACAGAATTTAGATACACTGTAATCTGCCAGGCTTATAAAATTTATGGAGTATTGATATTGCGGTTGGCTACCCCATCATGTTGAAAGTTTTAGCTGCAACAGAAAAGAAACCAGTTATGAGAAAGTCTTTAAAAAAGCAAACAAAAATCACTCAGTCAACAAAGATTAGGGTAAGGCCTTTTCTCTTTGATAAACTATGAAGTGATATAGAGAAAGTTGAAAGAATTCTGCATCATTATCATTATCATCATCAATTTCCAATTTACACTTCAGTGGGAAGGAACAGTTTGTGATCCAGTGCTTGATGGATGGGTAGCAATGGCTATTATCATTTTGTATCGATGTAGGCTGTTGGTGTCATCTCCTAGAATGATCTCTAGATTTCACTTTAAATCTTTTTTTATATATATATATATATATATATATATATATATATATATATATATATATATATATATATTTATATATTATATATATATATATATATAGCACCTGCATTGGTAGTGGATTTGGCTGCATTCTAACTTGATGACCAAACCATTTGATATTCTATTTGTCATGAATGAGACACCTATACCTATGGTTTGCTATTCTTTGTGTGTGGGTGTTCAAATGTGTTTCTGGTCTTTTTAGCACAGCTAGAATCATGCTTTTCCTTTAATTTCCCGCATGATTCTTAAGCAGTAAGTTAAAAAAATTAATTCCCTACTATTTTGCTGGAGCTGTCGTAGAATCATCCTTATTTGAACTGACTGATGTTTAAAAAAACACTAGAACATATTTGAAACAACAGATTCAGTGAGCAGTGTTTACTCTGCTATCTTGGTAACCATCAGGAGGTTGGCTGGGAGTCTGCATCACCATGGAAAAAGATGAAAACACAGTTGAGTTGAGTCAAGAATTGACATCACAGAACTTGGGGCATTTCCATGCATGCTCCGTCCTTATTTTCAGAAGCCAGCGCAGAGTTCCAATACTGATGGTACTGGTCACAATCTGGTTATATGTCCGTCTTGCCTTTCCTCTGAGTGTAGTGAGCCGGCCAGACCCTCTGATTACACCTTGGTGCCTCATTCTCTCTAGGCCATAATAATCTTCTTTCTCTACTGATTTAGTTGCTTGTTCCCAAAGGGCCTTGACCACATCTGCCTTGTCGTGTATAAATTCACCACCTAGTGGTGCAGATCCATCCAAAGTATGCTCAGAAGACACAGTGTAGAGACATACAGAAAAATGAATATTTTCTTCTTTTCATTCGGCAGAGTGACGTTATTGTGCTTTATTGGAGATTAAAGGTCCAAAGAAGAGTTCTATTGCTTATGTTCATGAATCATGTGCTACAAAGCTTTCTGAATACTTTCAATTTACAAAGCTTTCTGAATACATTCAACAGTATCATAACGTTTGAGTACTGTGGTTTGATTTTGGTTTGATTAAAGAAAACTGCAGTCATGGTTTCTAAACAGTGGTGTGAGAGTCGCACCGTGTAGAGATTGGGCCTCACCCCCATTATTTCCAGAGATGGCAGTGGTTGGTAAGTTAGTTGGCCGAGCTTCCAACTTCACCACAGGCAGTTTGCCCCATAACTGCTCTGTTCCTGTGTCAGTGGAAATCACACCACAATGTTCTTCACTGTCCCATTTGAAAACTAGAGAAAAACTAGCAAAATCTAGAAGCTTGCAAACGCAGAGTAAAAATGCATGAGGCAGCCGTCAGATGTGCCAAAACTAACGGCCCCACACCAGAATTGCAACTCATTCTTTCTTGGTGCACACAGTCAGTCACAAAAGCTGGCTGTGCAAGTGCACACTATTCTGGACATAATCGACCACCCATCATTTTAGTGCAGTCAACAACATGCCCTGGGCACATGATAGCATTGAGTATGTGGTAGCCAACCATCATGGAAGAGACTGCAACAAAAATAGAAAATCCTGAATGCACAGACAGTTGAGTGGGCTGAATCCTCAGTAGTGGCAGGGGTTTCCCAACCATTACATTAGCTCTGTGTTGTACCACATCCTCATAGAAAATTGGTAGTAAACAATTTCCATAATTTTCTAGGAATGTTCTGGAAAGTTAGATGGCGAGTACATGAAATGGCTGTTCTTCTTCTTCAGCTCACCAGCTGTTAACTCTGGCAGAAAGTTATGGTAGTTCGTCAACTCTGGACTTAATTCTTGTTCCACGTCTTGAGTTTTGCATGAATGTCCATTTTACAGATCTTACTTGTTTGTTTGCAGACTTGGTTCCTGAGCTGGCAGATGTACTCCAACTTCAAACAAAACACCCCCAATTAGTAGACTTTGGCTGTCCTGCGAAAAACGGGGCACAAAAGATGGCGGCCAAAAACAGAGCCTCAGTCACGTGTCAATTGCGCACTTCCGGCGACCTAATTTGTGGTTTTTCCAGCGACTACTACCACCGCCTTCACATCATGATGGCAGTATCTGCCCTGCCTTTACCTGATGACATTGCAACATCACTTTTTTGTTTGTTTTGTCATTTTTGTTTTTATGATAATGTCCTTCATTCCCATTTCAATACCAGCACATTATAAATGCCACAGATGTGTCTGTATTCCAACCTGGCGGATGCAGCACAACCTGGAGAATTGATTTCTTCTTATAGCCATGAAACTTGGCCTAATTTTCAGCTTTTGTAATATCTCTGCTAACATTTCATTATGTTGTGGTAAACAGGCTGTAATTGCCAAAGCAAACATATTGATGGAATTGCTAATGTGTTGTAATGCTAAGTGACAGATGAGAATTGTGGTTCTGCATTAGGCCTTGGCATCTGTTAGTGACTGCTTTTTGTTGTTGTCATGATTTGGATGCAGAGGAAAGTTTAAAGATGGAAGGGTGGAAGGTTATGGGAGGGGGTATCTAATAAACTTACTGACTCATGATGGGGTCTCAGTGGGTAACTGGTCAAGCCATTTGCCTTTGTTTTTTTTTTTTTTCAATCATTGTAAACTGCAGCAGAAAGTTCTGGTTGTTCGGCCACTTCTAGACATTGGTCCTGTTCCGGAATGAGTGGGGCGAGGGGGAGTCTTTTTTTTCTCTCTCACCAATGGGACCGGACCCGATATGGGGACCTTTTGTTCTGAAGGTCATGAGTTTGTTTCTTGAAATTTCTTGAACTGTTTGCTTTGAGGCTGCTGTTTTATGGAGATCCCTGTAGGTCGTCACTGGAGCTGTTGAGATATATGTATTTTTTTTTTTTTTTTTTTCATTGTATGTGAAAGAACATCTGTTAGAAAAATTAGTGACAGTAATTAATAATGATGTGCCATCTCCGCAATGAAGGCTGGCTATGGTGCACTGACAGTTGACTGAGAATATTATGTGTTGAGGCTGCAATTTTATTCACATCTCAGGGATTAATCAGAACTTATTAATGTAAAGTTTATTGTGTACCCACAGAAAAAGAAGGCAAAGCTCTTCAGCTTACTTACCAGACCAAACTGAAGCTGGTCGCTTTGACAAAACAAGCTGCTTTTGGGAAATTTAGACCAGACGTGTCACCAGATGTGGGATTTTTAGATATAGAATTACACGTAAATACATGGACAGATATGCAGAATAACATTGGTGAAGAATTTATAGAATCAAAGCAGTGTTCATAATAGGTATATTTTGGATGTTGTTAATTAGATTAGCTATTGTGAACAGAGTTTTCTGTTGAGGTAATGTAGCATCAGAATATACCTTGGCACTTTATTTTTTTTTAAATATAAAAATCTTTTTTCCACACATTCAGGCATATTGGGCATATTGTGCTACTTGACCTATATTATAGAGACCATTTGGTGGGTGATGTGGTCAACATCATGCTGGTCACTTTTACTTCCCAGATCAGCATATAGTCCTATAAATTGGACTTGATTGTATTCACAATGGATTATGTACTATTTCTGCCGTTAAACTCTATCGGTCCCCGAAGGTTCTTTATCTTTAGTAGATGTCCTAAGTGACAGAAAACCACTTTGAAAAATATAAGTGCTGGCGTTTAAGTGCAGCAACCAAGGCTGAGGCCACATTTCAGTAGTGTGCTATGACAGAATGCGTGAAGAAGAAAATGAGTAACTAAGAGCTTTTCTTTCTATGACTGTTTTGTTTTATTTTTGATATCAAGAGCTTTCTTTCTATGACTGTTTGTTTTATTTTGACCTCCAAGAGCTTTCCTTTTTGTTTATGTGAGCTGTTTTTTGTTTTATTTTTGACCTCCAAGAGCTTTCCTTTCTGTGACTCTTTTGTTTTATTTTTGACCTCCAAGAGCTTTCCTTTCTATGACTGTTTTGTTTTATTTTTGACCTCCAAGAGCTTTTCTTTCTATGACTGTTTTGTTTTATTTTTGACCTCCAAGAGAGCCTTCCCTTCTGTGACTGTTTTGTTTTATTTTGTGACCTCCAAGAGCTTTCCTTTCTAGTGACTGTTTTGTTTTATTTTTGACCTCCAAGAGCTTTCCTTTTCTGTGACTGTGACTGTTTTGTTTTATTTTTGACCTCCAAGAGCTTTCCTTTCTGACTGTGACTTTTGTTTTGTTTTATTTTTTTATTTTTGACCTCCAAGAGCTTTCCTTTCTGTGACTGTTTTGTTTTATTTTTGACCTCCAAGAGCTTTCCTTTCTGTGACTGTTTTGTTTTATTTTTGACCTCCAAGAGCTTTCCTTTCTGTGACTGTTTTGTTTTATTTTTGACCTCCAAGAGCTTTCCTTTCTGTGACTGTTTTGTTTTATTTTTGACCTCCAAGAGCTTTCCTTTCTGTGACTGTTTTGTTTTTTTTTGACCTCCAAGAGCTTTCCTTTCTGTGACTGTTTTGTTTTATTTTTGACCTCCAAGAGCTTTCCTTTCTGTGACTGTTTTGTTTTATTTTTGACCTCCAAGAGCTTTCCTTTCTGTGACTGTTTTGTTTTATTTTTGACCTCCAAGAGCTTTCCTTTTTTGTGACTGTTTTCCTTTCTGTGACTGTTTTGTTTTTATTTTTGACCTCCAAGAGCTTTCCTTTCTGTGACTGTTTTGTTTTATTTTTGACCTCCAAGAGCTTTCCTTTCTGTGACTGTTTTGTTTTATTTTTTGTTTTATTTTTGACCTCCAAGAGCTTTCCTTTCTGTGACTGTTTTGTTTTATTTTTGACCTCCAAGAGCTTTCCTTTCTGTGACTGTTTTTTTTTTTTGACCTCCAAGAGCTTTCCTTTCTGTGACTGTTTTGTTTTATTTTTGACCTCCAAGAGCTTTCCTTTCTATGACTGTTTTGTTTTATTTTTGACCTCCAAGAGCTTTCCTTTCTGTGACTGTTTTGTTTTATTTTTGACCTCCAAGAGCTTTCCTTTCTGTGACTGTTTTGTTTTATTTTTGACCTCCAAGAGCTTTCCTTTCTGTGACTGTTTTGTTTTTGACCAGTAACCTTACTATGGCACACCATGCATGACATTTTCTTAGCAATTGCATGTGTTTTCTGTATCTTTAAGATATTACCATCATTTTGTTATTGATCTGGTGAAAACATCTGCCTGCCATTTGTTTGTGATGTATTAACATTTTTTTTTAACACTGACATGACATTGTGGCATTCTTTATATTTGATCATGTGTAAAACCGCACTTGCTATTCTCATACATTTTCATATGAACATCCGTTACATAAAATGTGTTCAAAGACCACAATTACCAGCAAATAGGATTTTTTTTTAAAACACTTCAGTAATAGGTACAGTTAGTGTGCTCACCTCTCTGTGCTTGTTCCGTGAGCATCTCACTTTTCTTATTTAAGTCAGTTCTTTTAAAAAATAATACTTATGAAAATGTATCCTCTATGTTTTCAGTTTTCCATCAAACTTGGTATACTATTTCTCTATCAGTCTTTGCACATGTTTTCTACTCACTTTTCCTCGCCTTTTATTTCTCTTTATCTGCTTTGCCTTTCCTGTAAGAACATGCACATGTACCATCTGTTTATTTTGTCTTTGGCAAGAATTTTAGATAGTTATCTGTACTCTTGTTGCTCTGTATTACCATGTATTAATGCTCCTCTGTCTTTTTTATACAGCATCCCAGTATCCCAGTATTTTCATGCACAAGCACTTATGTGGTTGTGCACAAGCACCCAGTTTTACTGTGGTTTTGGTAAAAATAACAATTTTTTTTACAAGACTGTTAAATCACCAGTTTTACTGTTAATTCTTTTGGTAAACCCCCCCCCCCCCCCTCATAATGCATTGTTATTTTCTTATATGGGGCCTTTCCCTGAATTTTTTTTAAAGCAGAGACTATTGGGATAGTCACGAGATAAGTTTTCCTAGTGCATGACTTACTTGATTTGATAACATCTTCATGTTGTTTGCCTTCTCCTATATACATTAGTATTGGAACAGATCCATCTCAATGGTAAGAGGCATCTGGATCATGTAAATTGTTGTGTTGTGGTCCATCTGGCAGACCTGTTGTGTGCTTTATTTCCAGTTTGTTTCTACTTGAGCTTCTACAGTATGCTTGATGTTTTAACTTGTCTGAAGATATTGATAGTCTGCTTTATCAGGGGAAAGGATGCTGTGACCAGTTGTTTTTCTCATATACGTAAAAAGTCAAATTGTGCCAAAGTTTGGCTGCAATGTTGTCCACTGTCAGCTGTAGGAGTGCTACCTGGTGATGCCCCAATCTCTCCCATGGTGCGACTCTTGTCTCACTGACTGAATGTCGTGAATAGCAGTCTTTTTCTAAACCGCCAACTGTGGGAATTCCATGCTGGTAAATCATGTGATGGATTTATAAATTGATAGGTAGGAGTTTGAGTATGCACTAATTGTGGAAGACTTGCCTTTCTTAATGCTGGTGGGTCTTTCTAGTCACACTCGTCATCTGCATGGGCTGTGAATCTCATGACTCTTCCTAGCACAGTATAACACTGTTGTCTGGAAGGATGGAAAGGTACCAGCCAAAGGGGAGTGTGAGTGGCCTAGAGATGCAGTCTACCTTTTTAGCTTAAAAAGTGCCTGGTTCAAATCCCATTATTAACAGTACTTTTGTCTCATATATATATTATTTTAAAGAAGGGTAATGATGTTTTTCTTGACTTTTATCTCTGTGTGTGAATTAAGTGACTAGATTTTTCTGACAAAGGCATGCAGAAAATGTTGAAGTAGGTCATGCTAAACTGCCCTAGCAAATTTTAGAAATATATAATACATGCATAACCAAATGCATTTCTTCGCTTCCTCTTTTAGTGCTTCACATGTCAGGGAATATGTAAGGCTCTGTTTCTTGCTCTTCTGGTCACCTTGACCAGAGACACATCGTAGAGTTTCTCTGATGTTATCTTTCCATCATGTACTTGGTCCACCTCAGTAATGGCTCTCTCTTGGTGTATGCCTTGTATGGTATGGTGTCACAAAGCATTCTCTCCAAGTGGGCCAATCATTTGATTTGCTGTCTTTGTATATAATGTATAAATGTTCTGTGAGGATCAGGATTGTCTTATGCTGAAGGGGGATTGGGGGTAAGGGGTGTGGCGGCTAGCACAACATACTCACAGACACACACACATAGATTACAGTATACACACATTACGATCCATCAGTTTGCTAGAGTTGATGTACTGTCTCGGGAGTCAGTGTATTGTGGAAATAAGAGGATGGCAAAGAGATCAGGACTTGAACTTCTTGATTGTCAGGATGAGAAAACAAACCTGTTCCAACAATACTGATGATTGTTTTATTAGGTGAATTATGACCACCAGTGGGGTTTTTTTTTGGGGGGGGGGGGGGGGGGGGTATTTGATCATGATTAAAATGAATGTGTTTTTTTTTTTTTTTTGTTACTTTTTATTTATTTTTTATTTTAGACTTGACACCGTATTCAGTTATATCTTAACCTTTAAGCATTTAAATTTTTTTATTAAATGTATTTTTAGAAGAAACAAAACTATTTATTTGTTTTTGTTCATTATTATTTGTCTGGCTTTCAACACATTCCATGCCCTCATGTGTTGATTTATAACTAATGTAACTTTCTTGTGGTACCGAAATAGTTAAGGTGTTGATTTCTTTCTTGTAGATACATATGTGTGCTCATTTGTGGGCTTTAAAAAAATGTCTGTGCTGTTTATAGTCTCAGAAGATATTTAGATTTCTTTTCAACACTTTTGCCAGAGTGTTTGATGTTCTGCACATAAATATCTAGTGCTAGATAATTAATTTTGTAGTTTATTAGTAATTACTTTGGTCATTCTCTGTATTTCAGCTCCCTTCAGAAGTATAAATGTGGCATTAGAGCTGTTGATAATATGTTTAGTTCCTAATGTTTATTCTTAGTTATACATATTTTTCAGTCTCTTTCACATACACAGTTTTCTTTTCTTTTATTTCATCATCATCCCATAACACTATGTGTCTTTGGGTCACCAGTTTCTGTTGACTGTCTGAGCAGTTCTTTCCACCTTTGATGGTCAGCTGAGATGGACTTTCTGGTTGCATGCCTGAGGCCTGTCCAGTCAGTCAGGTTCTGTAACCAGGTCTTTCTTGGTCTGCCTCTTCTCCTCTACTGAGCCCTGCAGCATTGTTTTTGAGAGGTCGTTTGATTTTTTAAAATTTTATTTCAGTGATGCAAAATAAGTGTATCTCTTTATTTCTTCAGACACATGTGTTTAAATGAGAGCCCTGAAGGGGCTGAAATCATCCGGACCTATGTTTGGAAATTATTTTGTCATCAGCTTATTTTTATTTTATGTCAGTATCAGCTTAACAGCTTAATAAGCAACAGTTATTGATTCTACCAGCCTTTCTCTGTTCATGTATATACAGAGGGATCTTTATGTATCAAGGTGTTTGTAACTCTTTTCTCTTTAATATTGTAAATGAAGCTCTGCACTGGTAGCTGAAGATGGGGGACAGAGCACTTATGGGCGTCTTAGTTAATACAAGGAGAAAACAAGCATGCAACAGTCTGCATACAGATGAGCCAAAGAAGACTAGAAGAAATTGCATCACACATGTCATGACTGTAACAAAGCAAGCAAAAACAAAATGGTGGCAATGGTTATGCTGCATGCACAGTGGCAAGCATTGCTTGTGGGATCACGGACAGTTAGCAGCCTTTGATTATTTTCTTCATAGCGTGCAGGTGTGTTAGGAAACAAAGAGGCAGTCAAATTTGCCACTTGAGCACCACTTGGCGGTAAACCGATGCATTACAATCTAGTTGCGGTCAAGGCCCTTTAGGGATGAGTAAAGAAAAAAAGCAGGGAAGCACAAATAGATCATCAAGGTCTGAAGAAAATGATGCGGCGGAGAGTGGCCAGAGGATCTGGCAAACACTGGGAGGAAAGGCAAGACTGACATACAATTAAAGTGCTACTGGTACCATCGGAATTGGAACTCTGCGCTGGCTGCTGAATATAAAGATGGAGCGCTTATGGGAACGTTCAGAGTGCTGTGACATCGGTCCTTAACTTGAAGGAAATGTCCAGAGTGCTATGATATCTGATCCATAAAACACTGCATTTGTCTCGCTTTGTACTGGTCCATCTTCTTGCTTTGTACTCACCCATTATCTCACTTCACTTTGTACTGACCCATCATCTCACTTCTACTCACCCATTATTTCACTTTGTAACCTGTCAACTCACTTTGTACTGACTCACTTTGTACTGTCCCATCATCTCACTTTGTACTGACCCATCATCTCACTTTGTACTGACCCATCATCTCACTTTGTACTGACCCATCATCTCACTTTGTACTCATTCATCATCTCACTTTGTACTGCCCCATCATTTCACTTTGTAATCTCCCATCATCTCACTTTGTACTGTCCCATCATTTCACTTTGTACTGTCCCATCATCTCAATTTGTACTGTCCCATCATCTCACTTTGTACTGTCCCATCATCTCACTTTGTACTGACCCATCATCTCACTTTGTACTCATCCATCATCTCACTTTATACTGTCCCATCATCTCACTATGTACTGTCCCATCATTTCACTTTATACTGTCGCATTATTTCACTTTGTACTGACCCATCATTTCACTTTGTACTGACCACTAATCTCACTTTGTAGTGTCTCACCATCTCACTATGTACTGTCCCATCATTTCACTTTATACTGACCCATCATTTCACTTTTTACTGACCCATCATTTCACTTTGTACTGACCACTAATCTCACTTTGTAGTGTCTCACCATCTCACTATGTACTGTCCCATCATCTCACTATGTACTGTCCCATCATTTCACTTTATACTGACCCATCATTTCACTTTATACTGACCCATCATTTCACTTTGTACTGACCCATCATTTCACTTTATACTGACCCATCATTTCACTTTATACTGACCCATCATTTCACTTTATACTGACCCATCATTTCACTTTATACTGACCCATCATTTCACTTTGTACTGTCCCATCATTTCACTTTATACTGTCCCATCATTTCACTTTATACTGTCGCATTATTTCACTTTATACTGACCCATCATTTCATTTTGTACTGACCACTAATCTCACTTTGTAGTGTCCCACCATCTCACTTTGTACTGTCCCATCATTTCACTTTGCACTGCTCCAGTCACATTCACACACTGCCCTTCCTATCACACTTCCACAGTGCATTACTTCTTCACTTTCCCACAGTGCACTGCCCTAGCAGACTCAGACAGTGTACTGTGCTACCACACCCACACTATGCACTGTCCCATCACACTTCCTGCACTCTGCACAAATAATGTTGCACTTTGCACCTGTGAATACTGAATGATAATGCATGTCGCTGTTTTGCTTTGGGGGAAGAATACAATTATGTGTGCATGTGAAAGAGACACAAAGAGAGAAATGTATTTCAGACTAGGTTTGTGCTTGTGCCACTGAAGAAAATGTCCTTGAAACTGACCCATGCATTTTAACATTACTGATTTTGTATGTCCTATGTATCACTTTGTAATTTCCCATCACCTACTTTGCACTGCATGAAGCTGTCAGTATGTTCCTATAAGACATTATTTTCACTTGTACAAATGTGCAAATGATTAGCAGACTCACACAGTGATCTGAGAGTACTGATGCCATATATGCACTGTATATCACACTTCCACACTCTGCAAAATAATGTTGCACATTGCACCTTATTACTGAATGTTACATATGGCCTGCTTTGGGGGAAGAATACAATTAAGTGTTGGAAGAACACAAAGAGAGAAATTTTTCAGATGATGTTCTTGTATATAGGAAGAAAAATGTCCTTGAAAACTGAACATGCACCACACACACATTTGTATGCATATTTTTTTTAAAATTTCTTATGACCTAATTTTGCTGCATGATGCTGTACAGTATGTTTATAAGACCCCCCCCCCCCCCCCCCCCCCCCCCATTAAATAGTGACATCAGTAACATATATTTAGAATAATTGATACATATCCTGGACACAAGTTTTTGTCATTTGCAGATATTTCTTGTTTCCAAGAAACATCTCTGATGTTCACCATTTGAGACCACTAATAATGCATAATACAGGGATGCTCTAGTTTAACTCACATTTGTTTCTTTCTTATTTTTTTAAATTCTGTAAAATTTTGTTTTCCAAGAAACATCTCTGATATTCATCATAACCTTTAACAAATAATACAGAACTGCAGTGCTTGATTTTAATCCATGTGTTGTTTTTTATAATCTGCTGAGTTTTAGCCTTTTTCATATTAATCATGTCTTATCATTTTGTATTACCACCAGGCAAGCATGGCAGGCATTGGGAGATACATCCAAGGTAGAAGCCATGGCAGAATTTGTGAAGAAAATGGCAGAATCCTGCTCGTTGTTTCAGCCTTATGTGGAGGCACACAGAGCAGAGAAAGAAGAGGCAGAGAGAAAACAGTGAGTTATATGTACATATTTTTGTGAGCTATTTTATGTTCATTGTGTTAACAGATATCAGCTTTTCTCTTTTTTTTTTCTATAGCCTCCCATTTTGCTGCATCAGTACAGGTCATGTTTCCTGTATGATAGTGAAGTTCGAATGAGGCTGGCAGAAAGCTTCTGAATACAGTGCAGACCACTTAGGGCAGTCTCTGATGTGGCGAATTTCTCTTGTGAAGAACAGTTTGTTTATCTTCAGCAATTTTTTGTTTTTGTTTTTGCTTGAACTCTTATCTGGATGTGGGGAAATTTTGATAAGAAGAACCATTTCTTGGATCCCTGTTGTTCTCTTCTGTATGTTTTCTTTAGGAAAATAATGTGACAGTGAAGGAGTGACATAACTGCTAGGTAAAAGGGCAGAGAAAGAACAAATAGCATCCTCACATGCACAGGATGGCAGGTTGAACCTGGTTGGGGTAGTCGTTACGGGCGCCCTAATTGTAACTTCTTTGGAGGTTGAACAGGAGATCTGGGATATGCTTTGTTATTTTTGCCATCCAAACTGAGATTTGTCAGTCTCAGAATGGTCTGGTAAACTTGCAGGTACTAAACTAATGCCTCCTGGAGGGGACAAACAGATATCTAAGCCTCGATTTCGGATGGATTTAAACAGACAACGAACCTAAGAAGATGGAGAGATAACGTCCAGACAGACCTGCAAACACTTGGTGTCACCAACGGAAAAGAGAAAGCCAACCAGAGAGATGAATGGAGGCGGGTGATATCTGCAGCAATGAACCTCAAGGGCTCGGAATGCTGAAGAAGCAGAAGAGTTACAATCAGTGACAATGCTGATGTTTATTACTGTTTAGGAACCCTTTTTTTTTTTTGGTGGAGGGGGTGTAAAGGAGAGCTTTGCAACACATTATACTTAAGAACATGACGCTTCAGAATAAGGTCAAGAGGAATGTTTCTACACAAACCTCAGTCCAATAGTTGCAAGCTCTTTTAGGTACTCAGATGACTTGAGTACCATTGCATCATACTAATGAGTTAAAACTCAGTATTTCAGAGGAGCTGAGAGTTTAAAACCAACATCGTGTTACCCCCGGTTATTTTCCATAAATGCTGTGTCCCTATTTTCAGCAGCCATTGCGAAGTTCCATACTGATGGTGCCAGCTGTAGTTTGATCAAATGTATTATCTGATCACACCCATTTCCATAACTCTTTCTAGGCTTCTGTGATCTGTCCACTCTTCAGTATAAGTGCAAGATAGCCTGGCATACAACATCACACCATCTAGCATGAGAGTGGAGGTGGAGGCAGTAACTGCAGCTCTCCGGTAGCTAGAGAACAAGATGCATACACATGTCATAATTGTATTAGACTCTGAAGGCATGCTGAGAAAGGTGAAGACGAAAAAAAAAGTGTATCTCCTTATTTCTTCAGACGGGTAGTGAGCATACTTTAGAACTTTTCTCTAGGCCATGCCGGCGTAGTTGGTAATGAACAGGCAGACAGATTGGCTGGATCTTCACCACTGGATGGTGAATTGATACATGACAAGGCAGATGTGGTCAAGGCCCTTTGGAAACAAGCAACGGAATCAGTAGAGAAACAAGATTATCATGGTCTGGAGAGAATGAGGCACCTGGGTGTAACCAGAGGGTCTGGCCGGCTCACTACACTCAGAGGAAAGGCAAGACGAACACGTAACCAGATTTTGACCGGTACCATCAGTATTGGAACTCTGGGCAGGCTGCTGAAGAGGAGGACAGAACACACATGGGAATGCCCCGAGTGCTGTGATGTCAATTCTTTACTCAACTCATTTCAACTCAACTCCAATCTTCAGTCTTTCCTAGAACTCACTAACTAATGAGTTACACCACTTTCCTTTTACACGTTATAAATAAAAGGGACAGGAACACTCTTTCACTTATACATTTTATGGGTTATACTTAATTTCAGGAAAGAGGAAGATGATCGAAGAAGAAGAGAAGAAGAGGAGGAAGCTAAGCAGAGAGAGGCTGAAGAACAGGCTCGGAAGGCTCAAGAGGCTGAGAAACAAAAGCAGCATGAACAAGAGTGAGTTAAAAAAAATGTATTAGCTACTGTTTATTCAATCAGAAAATAGAGTGAAGAATAGTGTTGAAATGTGATGTTTTTGCCAAGGTACTGTAGACAGTGTTTGATCATTTTTGTATCAAGTAAATCACCATTGGTTCTATGGTTCAGGATATTTTCATAATCACTAAAGATGAATCAAGAAGAAAAAAAATACTGAAATTCTACCAGATATGAACATGGAAAAATGGTTCATAAAATGCTCATGCAGGTGTGTGTTTTTTCTATAAAAAGGGTGCCAGTACTAAACACAATGTCTTAAAAAGATGCCAGTAAGTAGCACAAAGTGCCTGTTATTGTAATGCTGAAAATACTTAAAAATAAGGAACTGGGACTGCATACCATTGTGTGCCACCAGAAAAAAAATCCCTTGCCCTATGTTTTTGACACTTAAATTCTCTGGCTACATGAATGTCACAGTGGCTTAGAAGGATCAGTTCAGGAATGTGTTGTCCTTGCAATTAGAGTCAGTGGTCAGCTGAGTTTTTGATGAAATGTCAAGAATCTTTTAGCCAGCCATATTTTCTGTAAAAGATCTATAAATTAAAGATCATTGTGCCATTCAGTAAACACATTTTAAGATAATTGTAAAAATCATAGATGAATCATGTAAATGTTACTATATTTACACATGCTGATTTGCTTAGCATATGTGATAAATGTTTGGTTTTCCAGTAAGATTTGACTATAATGCAGTTTTATTTCGTCTTTATCTGTGAATGATTTGCTGTGAAGCCATTTTACAGAGGATGGCTGATTCAATAGAGAAATAGAAACCAGAGCACAAAAGACAAATGCTGTCACCTACCAGCTATCTCCATTGCTTAGACACCCAAATGTCTCCCTTTCATCAAAATAGCAAATAATAGCATCCTTGCCCCTACTTTATGCTATCAATGCCAAACATGGACAATTAATGGGGAACTAGAGCAGAAAATAATTACTTGTGAAATGTAGTGGCTCCCTAAGGTCACTAAAAGCACAATAAGGGACAGGATTTTGAATATTAGCAATAGAAAGAAAGTTGGAATAAGACCATGTCTGAATTATATTGACAGACAAAGAATGAAATGGTTCAGCCATGTAGTGAGAATGCAGCCAAACCAAACTGCATATGACATTTTTTTACAGCAGAACATCTGGGAGGAATGCGAGGGAAAAACCAAGAAAGAGATGTATAAATGGTTTCGCTGAAACCTGCAAAAAAGATGAAACGAATCCATCACCCAAACCACCTGACAAGCACAAAACTAATTTCTTCTTCTTCTTGGCGTTCACCGGCTGTAAACTCCGGCGGAAAGTTTTGGTTGTTCGTCCACTTCTGGACTGCAGTCCTGTTACAGAACCTGAGTGTTAGGTGTGCATCCGTTTTACAGATCTGACTCATTTGTATGCAGACTGCTGGTTCCTTGCCTCTCAAGCAGATGCACTCCGACTTCGAAGAAAGCTCCCAATTAGTCGACTCTTACGAGGTGCTTTTGGGTAGGCAGTGGGTCTATTCTTGTTTTCCCTATAATAGGGCCCCGGAACCCACACAGGTACAAAAACAATTATAAAAACCACAACACTGGGCAACAGCCTGATTTCAGTGAGGTGACAAAAGAAGAAGAGTATATTAATTACATGACGTTCAATTAATGCATGTTAATTAATTTATCATGCAGTTTCAGTCATCTGAAAGGTTCCATCAGCAATTGATTTCTGTATATTGTCCAGAACAGCCAAAAAGATTACTGTTGGCTCCCAAGGAAAGCCGTGGGCATATCATATTCACCCAAGGGGACTCCCAGAAATGTGCGGCTAACATAAAATGCTGTGGTTCACACACACACACACACACACACACACACACACACAAATAATGTTTAATTTATCCAAATTCATTTTGAAATAATCGAGGCATTATCCAAATTGCACTAATCAATCGTGCATTTTCAGGATGCAGATTAGAGCTGCCCTCAACCATCAGACACAGGCACAGTTTAGACAGTATGCAGAACAACAGTACCCAGATAATAAAGACATGGTAAGTTCATTTTTTTTTTGGGGGGGTGGGGGGTATGTTTAGTATATATGTATGTACATACACACATATATATATATGTAAATTTTTTTTTGTCGGTGTTCATATATTCTTGATTTCTTTCCAAAATCACAGTTGTCAAGATACCTTTAATTTTGACATGTTTTGCTTTGAACATGTCTCACTGCAGTGATGTCATCTGTTTTTCATTTATCTTATAACACTGACTGCCTTTATTTCTAAGGACATTTCCTAGTGCCCATTTCATGTTGGGCCAACAATCTAAGTACAGGTCCATCTGTTCGCATCAGTGGAAATTTAAACACGTAACCGAGATTACAAGCAAAGGTTCCAGCAATTATACCATTGAAGTTTTCATTAAGTAGTGTTTACTAATTTGTTTCTCTGTTCATCTGAGGGTTTTGGCTAAATGTTGTGCCTACTACATCATGCAATATTTCTACCTTTTGGCATACACATCCAGATTCTTCAGGCAGTTGTTTCTCCCATGTTAGCCTTTCCATGTTTTTTCTTTCTTTTAAAAATAAAAGGTCTGTTTACTTTCTTTTTCCTGAGAAGCATTGAGTGTCTTTTGCAAATTATTTTGCTTCCTTTGAACATGGGTGGGTGTATGGTATGGGTAGTTATATTTGTTTGTTTATTTCACATATTGTCTGGCAGCAAGATGAACTGATCAAGCAGCTTCAAGACCAACATTTCCAGCAGTACATGCAACAGGTTTACCAACAGCAGCTGTTACAGCAACAACAACAACAGCAGACATTATCCTCATCTGCCCTGTCTAATGGCATCACCAGCAGTACCATTGCTACTAACAACAACATTTCACCAATCCCGGATGGCGTCACACCAATTGCTACAGGCGGTGAGGGTGAAGAAGGTAAGTTCTAAGCCTTCTTCTTCTGCATTTGTCCTTACAATGATCATTTTTTCCCCCCAGCTGTGCTGCGATATCTGTATCATTTCCCTCAGCACATGCAATTTCAGCCAACCCTTAATTGGTCGTCTTTTACGGCATTGTTGTGGCACAGTGGATCTGTTCTTTCTTCCTCCCCAAAATGGAGCCTCAGAACCCGCTCAGGGAGGGCTGTATTTTAGTTCTGGTAAAAGCAATCCCTTAGAGAGATCTCATATGTTTTCAGGTGTTATCTTCTGTATACATATCAGTATTATTAGCAAGTTAATCACACTGTAGGCTGGTGTTTTAAAGATCGATTGGTATGTTGATGCTTTCACTCTTGTTGTCAGTTGTGGTTCCAGCTTTATGGCAAACATGTAATCTCATAATTGCTCAGTTCCTGTCCCTGTGAAAACCACACAAAATGCCTATTACTTTCCCATGTAGAAGTGTAAAACTGACAGCCAAATCCAGCAGCTCGCACATAGATAAATGCATAAAGTGGCTGTCAGAGGTGCTAACACCAACAGTCTGTCACTAGAATTGCAGTTCATACCAAGTTAACCTATATTTTCACAAATGTATGCAATATTATTCATATAAAAGAATAATAAAGCGTTGATTGTGTGATATCATTTATGCTTAGCCCAACATTCATTTTATCAGTCATGATGGAATTTCATTTTTGAAGGAAGCTGATAAGCTCCACTATATGTTTGTTACATTTTTCATTCTACTCAGCAAGGTGGTTGGTTGCATGCATAACCATTTCCAATTATCCCCAGCTGTTCAGTAAGTTATCCACATTCACCTGTTCTGCCTTCACTGGGAAGTGTTGACTTCTTCTTCTTCACTTCCACTTGTAGATGTCGAGAGAGATATAAGGTTTTGCTTCTTGCATTTCTGACCACCTTGACCATATCATTATGAGCGTTTCTTTTCCCTGTGTGGATTTCTGGACCCCATTTTGGATGGAAAAAGAAGAGACACACTACCCCCAAACAAGCATGTTGGAAAAAGGTTGATTTGACTATATAAGTAGAGGTTTGCTGAAATCAGATGTATTAGATGAAAGGCACAGATATTTAAGCCTTGCTTTAGACCACAGCACAACGTGCAGCTCTCCTTTTAAGGACGAATACAGAAAACAAATGAGAAATCTTTTCCAAACTGACATTGCCAACAGAAATCTGACTATTCCAAGCAGAATGACCAGCTGCAGTGCTCCGTTCATTTTCACAGCCGGTGCCAATTCTTCATTGTGGCTTTCAGGATGTCTTTATAATGCTCTTTTCAGTCCTTGTGATACTGACCACATCACACATTGAATGTTGTTTGATCATGAATATAGGGAAGCCTAGCACCTTTTTCCTTGTCAAAAATGTTCTTGCTCACATATTCTTCATTTATACGCTGTGTGGGTTCCTGGGGTCCATTGGTTGGTTAGGGGATGGAAGGGGAAACTTACTGCCACTTAACAAGCACGTCATGCAAGATGACTATTTAAAACTGTGCTGAAATGTTAGGCAGAAAGGTGCAGACATCTGACCGTAAACCACAACACAGCTTGCCACTGTCTGTTGTTAGGGGGCTTGACATTTCAAGCCAGTCTTAGAAGGGACAGTTTGCACTGGTGATTATCTAGGTTTAATCCCATCATTTATTTGAGTTAGGAGTTGACATCACAGAACTCAGGTCATTCCCATCTTCAGCAACCAGTGAAGAACTCCAGTTCTGATGGTATCTGATGCAGTTTGATTGTATGTCGGTCTTCCCTTTCTTCTGAGTGTAGAGTGTTAACCAAATCCCTTGGTTACTCCCTGTTTGACCATTCTCTTCAGATCTTAATATGCAGAACCAGCCAGTCTGTCCAGCTGTTATTTTCCCAGCACATCTGCATGCCCTTGTAGAATTTGGAAAGGATACTAATTGCCAAGACCTCTGAAGGGATGCTTACCATTGGTTTATTCACATTCATGTGTTTAAATAAATGTATGAATGAACACAAGAACCAAAAAAATACACTTCCTTCAGCTCTGACTAATGTTGAATTTTAAATATATGGTATATATCTGGTGTGGAATTTTAGTGTCTTTCATTTTGTATTGTCACCTGTTTCACAGTGACATTTACACCAGCAGAAAATATTATCCCTGCTTCTTTGTGGACCAGAAAAGATTTGAAAGCTTTCAAGGATAGCCTCAGATCATCTAAAGAGAATGTAGTGCGTATTGGTTCTCTGGCCACAGCCACGGTGAGAGGGATATTTGAATACCAGCACCCGTCTGTTGTGGACCCTCAGTGTTGTATCTTGTGGCTCGGAGAACTCTCGTGTAATTGTGCACATATCTATCTGGCTTTTGTATTTATGGAATGTATTTGAGGTGTCTGCTTTTGGAAAGTGCTTTATAATTGACTAATAGATGTCTTTGGACAAATCTTGTTTCTGTAATTGTTCTTACATACTGTCCCTACCATAGTTGATACTGTGTAGTCTGTTTAAATATTTTACGTTTGGTGTACGGAAAGTTTGAGTCATTAACACTGTGCCATTTTAAAAAAAGTACATGCTACCAATGTTACAAGTACTAACAACATTTAAATGTCTGTTAAACTTCTTTGTCTGATGGTAACTTTATTCTGTCCTAAATTTTCTCTTTTCTAAATGTGGGTGTAGCAAAAGTTAGCGATGTTTTTTGTTTTTGTCTTTTTATAATATAGAATGTTAGCCCAGTATTTGCATAGAGAAGGCTGTTCCACTAATTTTACTCAGGAGCCAATGTTTTAAAAGTAGGGATCGTTGTTGGCCAGAGTATTAAACCCCAGCTTAGAAATATCGCTATGCAGTACATTTCTCAATGAACCGCAGGCCTCTTTACTAGGCCTCTGCTGACCAGATTCAGTCCACCAATTGAAAAACCCTAGCATAGACTAGTCAGCATTTGGTAGGTCGTATGTTTCTTCGTGTGGGTTCCGGCGTCATCCTAACAAGCATTTCATAGGAGGTAATTAATTAGCGGTTTTTTCCCTTCAGAATGAGTGCATCTGTCTGAGAGGCAGTCTGCATACAAATAAGCTATACCTATGAAATGGATGTGCAAGCAAAACTGAGGTTCTGGATCAGGACCAAAGTCCAGAAGTGGAGGAACAACCAGAACTTTCCACCTGAGTTTACAGCTGATGTTGACATTAGAGCTCCAAACTTTAAAAAAAAAAGAAAAAAAAAAAAATCTTTGGGGAGATTAAAAACAAGTGGCAAGCAGGTGCATTAGTCACTGTACAACCACAGCTTCCAATATGCTACTCATCAGTATGTAGTAAGTCATTTGCAGAATGGAGCTGTCATTATGGTCTGCCTGAAAGAAACTATGTCTCTCGCCAGATCTTCCGCCTCACGAACTTTCGTACCCAAGATGTCACTTATTGTCTATCTTCATGCTGGTCAGTCCTTGCCCTTTTGTCCTAGTATCATGGCTTCTGCTGTCGTTCTGTCCAGTCTGCTGTGGAGCGTGATATGGCCACAATATTTCAGTTTCTGAGACAGGATGCTGTTTACCAGCGTCACAACATGCTGCTGATGTTTTATTGTTGGTCTTGTGAGGTCATGAATCATGTCCATCCAAGTTTATTGCCATGGCACATGGTAAAGATTTTCTGGAACTTGTCTGGAAATAAAGGCAGCAAGGAAGGGAACTGGCCTGCCCATCTCAGGGGACAACATTTTTTGAACTAGTCTCAACATGCTTGTTGGCTCTGTGGCTAAGTCGATGCAAACGCTTCATAATGCCGGGGTACCTGGTTCAATCCCATCTGCGGGCCATGCGCCTTGCGTTGGTTTCGACCGTGGTGTCAGTGGGCCGATCGTCCAGAAAGCAGTGGCAAACTACTGGACGTAAATTGCCTAGAGAAACCACACAACAGCCAGGGGCTGCTGGGGTTGGTTCTGCAACATCCTGTAAAGGAAGGATATGCAACTAACCTCACAACATGCTTCAGAGTTGTCAAAGCTTGCATCACTTAAATTTAGAGTTTTTGCCACTAAATCAGCGTGCAAAAGTAAAGCATGCAAACCTGGGTACTTCTGCTTCTGTGTTCACCAGCTATTTTTAAAAAAAATCCTGGGTTTTTTTTTGGGTCCATTTGGACTTTGGCTTTGTGCCAAGGCTGAGATGTTCGTGTGCATCCGTTTTATTGGTTATTTGTGTGCAGCTGGTTGTTCCTTGCCGCTCGGGCAGATGCACTTTGACTTCAAAGGAAGCTCCCAGTTAGTCAACACTTACAAAGTGCTTTTTTGTTATTGGGGGGGGGGGGGGGGGGGGGGTTAGGCGGTGGATCAATTCTTGTTTTCCCCACAGTGGGGCTCCAGAACCCACATGGGGCTTCAGAACCCATGAGTAGAACTGATGCTGTCTGCCAGCGGAAACGATGCCGCCAAAGCCATAGCCATGATCGTGCGCCGAGGCATTGTTCATGGGTCGAGTCATAATTTGTTCAGAAGTTGCGTTCATTTACTGATTTTTTTTATGGCTTTCGTGGTGTAGGGTATCATTGCGTACATGTATGTTTTATATAGTTGCTGTAATTCAGCAAGAAATTCTACATAGCTGTGCTTGATCGCTGTTGCTTTCAGTTTTAAATTTATGTTGTAGAGCTGTGTGGATGTTGTTAACTCTGTTTCTCTTTCGCTCCATCTTTCTTTATCTCTCTTTTAAACTCTGTCTGTCTCTCTCTCTCTCTCTCTTTTTTTTTTTAGAAATCTCTCTATCCTGCTGTCCATCTATCTCTTTCTCTGTATCTCCCTTATTCTCCCACTCTCTCTTCTGTCTGCTCTTGCTGAGTTCACACCAGTCCTAACAGACCTACATCTATTGAATTTATGTGATTTGATGTAGAATACAGCCTAACAGCGGCCTCAATGTGGACTCGCAAAGATATTAAAGAATTCAAAGAATCTTTGGTGAAGGATAAAGAATCTGTTATTAAAATAGGTTCTGGAGAAACAGTCACGGTGAGTGAACTATCAAATTAACCAAACAGCCAACATTTGCTTTGTTTTTATAATGAATTTCAGTTTGCTATCTTTATAAATATTTTTTTATAAGTTTTTATTAAGGATGCTTTTGTTTGTTTGTCTGGTTTAGTTCTTTTCAAATTGTTCAAGCGTGAGCAGAAGCTGCAATATGTTATTAGAGCTCTCTGAATGTTACAGTCAGAGGTAGTTTGATATACAAGATTAACTTATGAGTAAGCACTAGCTACATTAGATAATGACAGTTTTAGTATTTTCCATTTGTGGCATCCATATCTGCTCCTTTCAGCTCAGCACATTCAGTTTCAGAAAACTAATGATTTCAGAAAACTCCTAATCGGTTTGTTTTTAACAATATGCTTGTAAGAGGGCAGTGGGTCTATTCCTTTTCCTGCAAGGAGTGTCTGGATTTTTTCACCGGGACATGCCGGCGTGTTGGTAAATGAGCAGGCGGACAGACTGGCTGGCTCTGCACAACTAGGTGGAATACTGATAAATGATAAGGCAGACGTGGTTAGTGCCTTGTGGGAGAGCGTGTACTGTTCAGAGGAGCAGATGGATCACCACAGTCTGGTGTGATTGATGCAGCGGGGAGGGACAAGAGGTTCTGGCAGATGCTCGAGGCTCAGAGGAAAGGCAGGACGGACATATATCAGAATGCTACTAGCACCATTAGTATCGGAACTCTTCGTTGGCTGCTGAAGATGGGGACAGAGCGCTTATGGGAATGCCCCAAGTGCTGTGATGTCCGTTCTTAAATCAAATCAAATCTTTTCCTGCAACCCACATGGAGAGCATTGAATTATGAAAGTTTTGTAGCTGTTCCATTTATAAGGTACAGAAGCTGTGACGTGTTAGTGACAGAGCAAGAGATGTTGCACTGCATTCCATCCATGATATCAAAAAGACTGCACAAGATAGAATGGAATGGGGGACTAGATTATGAGCTTTATTTGATATATGAAGTCGCAAAATTATAATGATGAAGATTCATTTTTTGAAAAAATTTCTCTCATTTTCCTCATGTACCATATGTTCTGTCTTCTCTTAATTCTTATTTTGTCCCAAACTTGAAATTTATTAGTTCTGGTAGCTCCCCCCCCCCCCCCCCTCCCCTCCCTCTCAATAAGAGCTCTGCGAATGTTACTATAGCTAGTGGCAGGAACTCTTATTCTAAACACGCCAAAGGACAGGAACCAACCAGACTAGTCTTGTAGACAGACAGGGACAGCTAAAGGCTAGGGAAAGAAAAACCTAACAGTTGGGATGTGTTAAACACAGGCTTGATTCGATTATGCAGCTGAATTCACTTTACGGTTATGTGGTTTCCATGCATAAAAACACAACATGCTTTGAAGCCACTAAAATTTGCATTTTAGATACTTTTGGTTGCAGTTAAACTTGGCTTCACATAACAAAGGGAAAATAAAATAAAAATAAGTTTAACTTAAATAATGATCTTGCAAATTTGTTCTTTGAAAAATATTGTTTTTACAGTTCAGTACGATTATAGTTTAACATATTTCCTTTTTTATTAGAAGCTGTTAGTCCTACAAATGTGTGGATGAAAAGAGTTCTTTATTCATTCCTGATGTTGATTATCAAATACTATGATAGTTTAATCTACCTACCTGTATAGCGTCTGCTAGAGATATTATAATGCAAACGCAAACTAATATTAAACTTAAAATGTTTAATTCTAATTGTCGATCAATACTGCTGTGTGGAGCAGAAACGTAGAGAGCCATTAAAACAATTACTAATGTAATATAAACATTTATTAACAGCTGCCTGTGCATAATAGAGCATTGCATGGTATGATTGAAAGAATAACTAATATTGAACTTTGGAAGAGAACTAAATAAATTCCAGTGAATCAAGAGGTGAAAAAAAAAAAGAAGAAGCTGGTATTGAATAGGACACACGTTTGAGAAAATCTGAAAACAATAAAACGAGAAGTGCTTTACACTGGAACCAAAAGAGGCATATAAATAAAGGCAGACCACAAAAAACATAGATAATGGAACTAGAAAATACAGTTAAAATGTTGAGAATGGCATGGGATGACCTGCATTTGACAGCAAATGATAGGATGGCTTGGCTGAGTTGGTTGGGGGCTTATGTTCCATGTGGAGATAAAGGCCAAAAGTAGAATCACTTTATAGTGTTCATGGATAAGGGACATGTTTTTCAGTTTTTGTATTTATATCTGTTCTGTTGCTTTTTGTTGAGTGTTCTAATTTCATTGGTGGTTGTATAAGCTATTTCTGTAATATACAGTTTTGACTTTATAAATGTAAATGTATATTATTTAGACAAATTAAAGGTATATTTTTTCGTTGTTATTGGTTAATACATTAATAGTTTTAGCTTTAACTGATTGTAAATAAAATGTTGCAGATTTTGTAGATATAAAAATATATTATAAAGATTTCATATGCAATAATTCAGCATTGTTGAAAAAACAAAAACAGTTTTAAATAACACATACTCAATTCCCCCTGCCCCCTTTTTCTTCCTCTGTCTCACACTACACACTATAAGTAATATTGAGATGAATAGATCAATAATCATAATTTAGAAGCCTGCCTTTATTCGTGGAATTACTTTCATGAAGATAGTAGAAAATATAATTCTAAATGTTATTTATTTTGTGTTTTTTCCTTCTTACCTTACATTACTACATATTATATCTTAACATATACAGCATTATTGTTTAACTGTTACATACTGCATATTATGTCCTCGTTGTGCTTAAACACCCTTTGTACAAGGCACATGTGGTCAAGGCCCTTTCGGAACAAGCAATAGAATCAGTAGAGATAGAAGATTATTATAGCCTGGAGAGAATGGGGCATCTGGGTTTAACCAGAGGATCTGGCCGGCTCACTACACTCAGAGGAAAAGCAAGACGAACATAAACCAGATTGTGACCGATACCATCAGTATTAAACTCTGTGCCGGCTGCTGAAGATGAGGATAGAGCAAGCATGGGAATGCCCCGAGTGCTGTGATGTCAGTTCTTGACTCAACTCAAATGCCCTTTATCTAGTGGATATATTTGTTCATTGTTATTTTTTTTTTTTTTAAGGAATGGAACATTTTTTTGATCAACTAGATTACAACCGTACAAAAAAATCATGTAACATTTCACAGTAAACATTATTAAAAAATACTTAGCAGTGTTATCTGTGCCTTTGAATATAGATGTTGAGAAGTACGAATATGGGATGAGTCAAATAAAAGATATAATTTAAAAAAATAAAAGATTTAAGCATGTGCTTATATAAAACAACTAAAATGATTTTAAATGTTTACATGTACCAATTTGAGACAAATACAGCAGTAGAATAATGCTTACTTATGCTATTTTGAGACAAGTCAAATGACTTAAAAAATTGTTTACGAATACTCAGACCCTAAAAATGAACCAACAAATGTATTGAAAGAAATATGTTTGCATACACTATGTTGTTGGCACTTTTCTATCTTTCCAGATCATAGTCTTAAATTGTGATATAGGTGAGACCTGAAAATCACAGCCCATGACGATTGCATGTATGACTAGCAAGACCTGCTCATATTAAGAAAAGTCTTCTGCAATTAGAGTATGGAATTTCAGGACCATTGTTGCTGTTGCCTGCATTTAACATGCTTCTACTCAAGGAAAGATATAAAACCAAACAAAAAGTATATCAGCAAGCTTCACCATATAACAACACAAACAAAACGTGAACGTTGCGGCTATGGAGTCTTCTTCAGCACATACATAGAATAGACCATTCTACACAAATACACAATATCACTTATCTCCGTATCTCGTGGTAGCCGGGTCGATGTCAAGACAATGGTCTGGCAAGGCACGTGGGGCCTTGAAAATGGATATCAGGGGATATGCCAGGGGCCATCACTCGAAGATAAGATGAAACTGTGTAGGCAGTGCAGCCCCCTAGGGTTTAGATGAAGTTGTGTTGGCAGTTAAGTCCACCAGGTGCCAGAGTTCCCAAAGTGTAATTAAAGCGATGTTTAAGAGACATGCGAACTCTTTCGCTGGAGTGGCTAGATTTAATGGCTGTCACCTCCATGACATGGACACCTTGGTGGTCATAGGAATTGAAATGCAGTGCTACTGGTTTCAGAGCCCCATTCTGCACGTCCAAAAGATGTTGTCTGAACCTGCCTTAGATACTCATCTTTTAACCTATCTGAAATCATTTTCTTCTTTATCCCTACTCCCTTCCTGAATTTTCTCCATCTGCAACACAGTCCCTGGCATCCTCTTGCCATGAATCTGGCTCAGTATCATTCATGCCCCTCTTACACATATATTTATATAGTAGTAGAGGCTGACCTCAACTTACATCTACCTAGCTGTAACTCAGCATAAAGGGTCTTCTTAGGGTTTTTACCATTCTTCAAGTGTGTTCTTCACAGACAGTAGCATTGAGAAAATTGTTGTGATACATGTTGTTTTCAGTACCTTAGTGTTTGTGATCTTGTCTAGCCACTTAATGCCAGGTATTCTTAGGCATCATATGTGAAAGCTGTTTATCTGTTTCTTCTGGAATAAATAAGTTGACCAAGGTTCACTACTTTTTTTTTTTTTTTTTTTTTAAATGATTTATAGCAACTTTATTCCTACTTTATGCTATCGGTGCCAAACATGGACAATGAATAGGGCACTAGAACAGAAAAATAACTACATGTGAAATGTGCTGTCTCTGTAAATACATCAGAGCATCTGGGAAGAAGGCTAGGGGAAGGCTAAGAAAGAGATGGATAAATGGTGTCATTGAAAACTTGAAAAAAAGACGAACAAATCCATCACCCAAGAAGCACAAGACAAAAATAGAGAATACCATGACAATGGGCTGCCAGCTGGTAACTGTGAGGAAACAAAAGGCAGTGAATAGAATAGAGTGTTGAGATTTAACTAGGGTACTGCACTAGAAATATGTGACTGAATGCTCTTGTATGTTTTCTGTGCAGGTGAGAGTGCCCACACATGAAGATGGGACTTGTCTGTTCTGGGAGTTTGCCACAGACTACTACGATATAGGTTTCGGGGTGTACTTTGAGTGGTCCGTGTCTCAGACCAATACAGTCAGTGTTCATGTCAGCGAGTCCAGTGATGAGGAAGATGAAGAGGATGAAGCAGCAAAAACAGAAGGTGAGGTTGCTGAAGGTAAATTGAACTCCTTTGTGTTTTCTCATGCTATTTGTGTTTGTTAATCTTGGTTGGACATAGTAAGTGAAGTCAGTCAATACTGTTTTCACATGATCTTCTTCTTCGCATACACCGGCTGTAAACTCCTGCAAAAAATTTGGGTTGTTTGTCCACTTTTGGACTTTGGTCTTGTTTCAAGACTGGAGTTTTGCATGCACATTCCTTTTACAGATCTGGTTTTTTTGTCAGCAGACAGTTGATTCCCCACCTCTCAGGTAGATGCACTCCATAGTCACCTTTTATGACTTGTATGTTAGGGGACAGTGAGTCTATTCTTTTTTTCCCAGAACCTACACAGGAACTTCACATGATCAGTTGCAAGGAATTTTCAACTGCAGCAGGCTTTGTGTCTTGGTGAAATAGGGTTTAACTAGTTGAGCACATTTGGAGTTGTAAAGTTATTTACCTACACAAAGGTTATCCACATCAAAAGTAGACAGTCAACATTCTGAGTAGGGCATGTCATGAGTAGGGAAAAACTGGGTTACAGTTTGTCAACAGGATAGAGAATTGTGGGGGTCAAGAAGAAGGATGTAAGTTTGGCATAATGGCATAGCAACATACCTAGATCAGAAAATAATGGCAGTACATGACACAGAAAGCTTAAGTCAGACAGGATGATCAGTGCCACACAGAACGGAATATATGAAGAGGAAAGTTGAGTAACATATGTTGCGTTTCACATATTTTTTATTTAACATGATTACTTTGTTATTGTTATGCCCTAATTTCTTGTGTAGATTCCTGGTTCCCATTTTGTGGGTTTAAAAGAATAGACCCAGTGGGTTAAGGTGGTGAAGCAGACATCTCTCAACAAGGATTTGTGTTTGTTTTTATGGAAAGTTAGTTAAATACATGTTTAAAAGTGTTTATGAATGTGATAAAGAAGAATAGCTTATAAACACATTATACAGAGCACACAGAAAATCTGTACATTTTCTCCTGGTTCTTTGATGAAGTAAATGAACAAAGAGAAGAAGATTTTATAAAGCCGACCTACACAATTTCCAGTGATTCTGTTTTTACCTTTAATGTTTGTGTCCCTTCTGCAGTGCGATCTCTGCTATAAGCAATAGCATCACACAACAGGGTCGGTCGAAAATATTGCTGAAGGTTGAGGTGTTCAGTCGTGCGGCTGTGGAAAGCAATTGGAAACTGCACTACATTTTAAATTCCTCAAACTATCTACAGAAACAGAATCATTTAAAAAAAGTATTACATTTGTGCATTCCGCTTCCATTTAGAGTTTCTAGATATATATACAATGTGGTAGTAGTCTCCTTTGCTTTGCATGGCCAAATGGCTGAGCATCTCAACTTTTGACCTTCTTTTAGATGTGGCAGAAGGTGACCACTGGGAACGCGCTACAGGACATTGAAACTGCTTTAGCTATGAAAGCACACTGGGCTGAAGAATTAGCTAGAGAAAGAGATAATAAAAGGTATAAAGTCAGGAGATGTGAACCAGCATCATTGCATACGGTTATAAACCATAAGTGCTCTGCTATCAGTACGGACAGCTGAAAAGAAACTCTCCGCCTGTGTTGCTGTCCGCACGTAATTCTGTAGCTACAGTGACGTTCCTCCATTTACCCCAGAGTGTCACTCTGGTGCCCATTTCCTAGAGGCTGTGTGAACCCCGGGAACCACCCTGGTTTCGAACGCCGACAGTGGCTTCAGCGAGTCGCAGCTGGATTTGAAAGCGAACCTCCTATCGACTGTGCTAACGTGGTCCCTGAGAGAAAGACATACATTCAGGTGTGCCTTAGAGTGAGCGACATTCTGTAAAGGACATACTGGTTGATGTACTTTCCTACTTTATTTTTCCAGAAGCCAAGGTGGGAGATGTTGAAAAAGGCTCGTCCAAGAAATTAGAAAACAGACCACCAACAGACGAGATCATCCCCGTCTACCGTCGGGACTGCCATGAAGAGGTTTACTGCGGAAGTCATACATATCCTGGCCAGGGTGTTTACCTTCTCAAATTCGACAACTCGTATTCGTTATGGCGATCCAAAACCCTCTACTACAGAGTATATTACTCTAGATAAGAATTCCGCAGAGATTTTAACGGTCCTGCTTCATTGGCTGATATGAGTGGTCATATTTTTGATTTTTTTTTTTTTGAATGATTGACGTAAGAAAAATTATTGATTATTAACATGAAAAAAAATAGTTTAGCACTGTATTTATAACTAGCTAAATTTTGTGATAAGTTGTCTTCAATTTGTGTATTTTCATTTCTTTGACTTTTATAACACTCCATAGGGTGCTAATTGTGTTGTAGTGCTTCAGTTTATATGTGTGTGTGTTTTTTTCCCTCGCTTATACCAGACCAAAGGCAATGCTGTGTTTATTGTAACTCTTATTGTACATACTTTGTGCAATGTGTTTTTGCTTTGTCATGTCCAGATTCTGCCTTTCTCGAAGGAATTCATATCTTGTGCCTATCTAATGTCCCCATACATTTTTGCATTTGTTTATATTGTCTAAAATCAGAATCGTGGTAAAAAGCATTGCATGAAAAATATTATTAGAGCAGTAAAATATACTGTCAATATACCTCATATTTTAATGATGAGCGAAATGAATAACAAACACGGTGTATAAATATTTTAGATAAAAAGTTTTCTCAGGCTGAAGCAAATACGGCTAAAATTATTTTGTCACTAAACCAGTGTGCTTATCCCTCCCCCCCCCCCATGTCTATTCAGTCATATTAATTATATTATTGTCTCTGATATTTTCAGTGTGTATTTTTTTTAAACCATTCTTTATTAACATCAGCAGCTGTAATTTCCAGTTTTACTGTTTTAATTGTGCACTTCTGCGAGGCTGGCCTCTGCGATATAAAGATATGTGCAGAAAGGACATGGTGTACAGGTGAACTCGTGGGAACAAATTGCCATGGACCGTGTTGTGTGGAGGGGGTGGGGGTGCATGTCAGAAAGGGAATGATAATGAAAGAAGAAATGATTGCAGAAAGTATGAGAGCTGAGTGTCTGAGAAGAAACAAACTATAATATAGATGTTAACAACAACGGTCCTAAAATCCCATGCTATAATTGAGGAAATTTTTTCTTAACGCGGGCGGGTTTTGCAAGTCACACTCACCATCGCCATGGGCTGCAAGTCCGATCTCTCCTCATAACAATATAAAACTATCGTCTGGAAACACGGAAAGGTGCCAATGATGTTTGGCAGATTGGCATTTAATAATAAGTGATTACTTTTCCCTTGAACATCTCTGTTAGACATTTGATGAAGGTATGTTGTACATCAGGAGATGTCATCTACCCATTAGGCTGGCCTGGCAAACCTTCCTAGCAAAATTATATCTCTATAAGTAGGCCAGTTTTCTCCCATAGCTTCTGAGTTGGTAGAAAGGGGATTTCTGGCATTTGTCAGCTTGGACTGGAATCCCATAATGCAACTTTTTTTAGGGATGTCAAACATGGGGGGGGGGTGTAGCTTTTCAGTTTCCATCTGCCAAGGCATTCTTTTTTATATACACTGCGAGGCCATATGTCTATTTCACTACCCCTAAAAGTTTATTTTAATCCCAAGAGGATTATACTATCTTTGGTCTTTGTAAAAATCCAGTCATTGAGACGACCAGGCCTGCACAAGCTAGAGGTGGGTGCCATAACCTCTGATCTACTCCACTCATAATTACCACACTAAAAAACTGCGAAATAGTAGGACTGTAGTAAGCTGCCTTATGCATTTAATGTGCAGTCATGCTGTTGGATTTTCTGAGACTGCAGTCTACGTCAGTTTTTTTATACAAGGAACAGTGGTGGACATTGTGTGCGGTTTTCGTTGGCACAGAAACAGAGCAAATGGGAGGGCAACCTATTTGCTATGAAGTTTGAACTGTGATTAACCAAATGTGAAATAATCCAAAAATAAGAAAGTGCGCTTGCATTATTGTAGTTAGTACACTCACCATGACACAGGTCTGGGGTTCGTTCCCTGGAAGTGACAGCTACTGGGATGAGACATAAGAGTTCTTGAGTGCTACATAGATTTGATCCTCATATTCGAAGGTGAATCAAGGACAGTCAGATTGGACAATTCATTGCCCGGCATATTTCGCTGTATCTCATCAGTGAATTATAGATTGCACAGTGCCTGGCATATTTCACTGTATCCCACTTTGAAGGATGCTCCCAGTAGACTGCTACAACATGCTTGCTGGGGAGGCAGAGGGTCTATTCTTGTTTTCCCCACAATTATTTCCTGGATGATTAGTAAACTATAATGTGGAAGCTGCAGAGTTGTGGGTTTATATATGGATGATAAAAAAGCAGTGGACAGATATAAAGTGTAATGAAGATATCTTGCAAGAAATTAACACAGAAAGAGAACTTATTTCCTGCATCTAAAGGAGACAATCTAGATTTTGTGGTCATGTCTTGAGAAACGGAAAACTAGACTATCTTATGACAAGGGGCGGGTTGAGGAGGGGGTGGGGGGACGAATAGAGGAAGATATGGCCCAAGAGATAGAGAGAAAAAAGGATAACAGAACGCTGCTGCTCCTCTTTGGTGCATGTCAGAAGTTGGGTGGCCATGTTTAAATGGCTCCATAAACATAATAGAGGAAGAGATGGCCCAAGAGAGAAAATGCTGGATAGTTTGAAATCATGGCATACTAGATGGTCTGTTTAAGAAATGATTGAAGTATACCAGTTGTGAGGTTGTGGCACACGGCATGGACAGACTAAAATAGGGCTGTTCCACTAGAATTACTTAGGGGCCACAGTATTGAAAATGGGCATTGTCGTTATTGGCCAAAGGCCCAAGCCCCAGTGTAAAATGATTATTAACATCATCATCAGATGCCTTGCTGAGTGGCGTGGGCGATCATGCCTCTCCACAATTGCCTGCAGCATGTATCAGTTCGTGTGCTGACACAAGTTCAGTAAAATGATCACTAATACAAAACAACTGGCAGTGATCCACAGGCCATTTGCTAGGCCTCTGCTGGCCTGATTCAGCCCACTGACCGCCGGTCGAATAGCTCTCGTCTGTAAGGTAAATAAAGAAGAAGAGTGACAGCTGACTAATAACTGTCTACACCTGTGTTGTGAACGCACTAACCACAGCACTCCTAGAACACATTATTTTCTGCTATTTCACATGATTTGATAGCGGTCCGGCATTAATTTCTATACTATGGTCTTCATAATTCTGGAGTATAGTCTTCTTAACTTATTCACGTAAAGTTTACAGCGAGTCTAAAATTCACATTTGCTGTGTAAATTGTAATCAGTATTTTCAGTACTTATTTACTGCGTTTGTTCAGTCTTGTATAATCTCTGATTCCATAATTTGAAATGACATAATGTGATTTATATTGAAAAAACAGATCATTGAAAATCTGATTGTTCATTGTGGCCCGTGTGCGTGTGTTGTTGTTGCTGCTGTTGGTTGTTTGTGAATTTCAGAACATATCACTGGTTGTGCTTTGTGTCCAGATTAAGTGTTCATGGTTGTCAAGTTTCTCATGGAGAAGCTATTCAAATAATAGGTCAGCTGCTGGGTCTTGTTAAAGCATGTCTGTTAATGATCCCAGAAATGGAATCAAGTGGTGAGTACACCTATCTGCCAGCATATTTTGTGTGGCTTCAGTCTTAGTAATGTCAGGAATTTCCAGTATAGGTCTAATGTCTGTCCACCCTCCTTAAATGTGTACTGGATAATTTTTCAAATATTTCATGTAGAACGAGCAGCGAGTACTGTAGGACCAGCAGTGAGTATTGTAGACCAAGCAGTGAGTATTGTAGCACCAGCATTGTAGACCAAGCAGTGGGTATTGTAGCACCAGTATTTTGGAACAAGCAGTGAGTATTGTAGGAGTAGCAACAGGTATTCTAAGACCAGCAGCGAGTATTTTAAAACATCATAATGACAGTTTAAAGATAGCCACCCAATTTTGACATGCACCAAAGAGGAGCAGCATTCTGTTGTCTTTTTTTTTTTTAATCTGTGAATGGATGAGGTGAAACCTATAGAAAGTTATTAGTGAATAAAGGTCAAATAAGATAGTGCATGCAGTTCAGCTAGTTTATGCGTGGAGTATGGATTGGGTCTCTTTTTTTTTCTCCAAAGTGTGGCCCTGAAACTCTATAGGAGATGACCCAAACAATTTTTATTAGAAGGAAAGGTGACAAAGCAGAGAACTGAAAGCCGCTCTACATACAATAAGGCCTAGAATACATAAAGCCCTGACATTCACACCCCTAGAGGTAGTGACAGCTGTAAAACAATTTTTGCCATATTTTTTTATGCAACATAATATTACCTATAGTCTGGGAGCTGCCATGGCATAGTGGCTAGACGTTGACCTGAAGGTCATAGGTTGAACTCCAGATCGAGCCAGATGTGTTTTTTGAAAATGTCCTTGGCTGCCAGTTTATTCCAGCCAAAAATGAGTAACATGTAAAGTCCTGGGAAGTAAAAGTGGCCAGTGTGGCGTTGACACATATAAGTCTTGCACCATATATGCAACACACCCAACAGCTGTTTAGTTTATAGTCCAGATGACACATTGGCCTCAAGCTACAAAAAAAAACTCCCCTCGTTTCTTAGTTAGTTGTACATTTCTTTATAAGGCATTGCAGAACCAACCCAAACATTTTTGTGTGCTGTTTGGTTTTACCAGACAGTTTTACATTCAGCCAGTTTGCTATTGCTTCTGAATGGTCAGCTTTCCATACCATTGTCAAAATCTGGGCAAAACAATCTACTGCCAAATTGTCCGCAGCTGCAATCAAACCGGCTATCCTGCAATTATGAGGCACATTCGCAATGCCTAAGCCACTGAAGATGACTCAGCTCTCAATACATTTAAAGCTACTGTTTGTACAGGGATAGCCGTTATTATTTGCCATGATTATAAGCTTGGGCCATCATAGTTCATCAGTTCACTAGTCTCTGTGTTGTGGAGATTCTTCATCACTTCCTCTTTGACTGCTTTTGGTTGTTGAAGATTCTGCTTTTTGTTCTTTTAGCAGCCTTGACAGTAGACAGATTATGCTGTTGTA